CTCCAGGGCCTCCAGGACCAGTGCCGGGAGACGCAGGCCCTGCCCGCCCTCACCCTGCTGACCGGCGAGTCCTGGGACGTGACGCTGCGGGGCGGAGGCCGCGAGCTGACGGGGACCCTGCGAACCTCCGAGGAGCCACTCACCAAGGCCCTGTGCCTCCTGCTGGCGACGAGGGCCGCGCTCACCGAGGTAGGCGATGCGGTGTTCTGCAATGTTTTACCTCGCAAGTTAGCTTCCTCCTTGATCGCACTCGGACAACGGGATACGCTCTACTGCAATAACAATGTTTGCCATTCTAGCGAAACATTTGCTGGTTGCAGTATTGTGTTCGTTGTTTATTGATGCTGTCCCTATCTCAGATAAGGCACCTACCTTGTCATGTCATAGGCGTATCCAGCTATCTCAGTCAATATTTTAATGGCGTTTCAAATTTAAATATTTCCGTTTAGCGGCAACAAATTCCTAATATTAGCTGGTATCTGAACTTCGAGCAATCCCCTCCGTCCATGCGCAGGGCTTCAGTATACCGTCGGCGTGTACCGTGTACCCTGCTGTGTGCCTCCGCGTACTACACCCAGTGTGGTTGTGCAGGACCGAGCTGCTGCACGGGACCCACCACCTGCAGCTGCACCCACACCTCCTGAAGCTCCCCTTGCCGTCCTGGACCCACCACCTGCCGAGGCGCCGCCCTCGCGGGAGATGAATGTGAACGATATCAGCCACTGTGGACCCAACTACAATCTGCAGGAGACAGGCGCGTAGGAAGGTCCAAAAAGCTGGGGGGGCACGTGTTGTGGGTTGCCTACCCACCAGGCGGAGTTTTTGTTTGTTTTTTTTTTAAATTGTAGTACACACACTTTACACTTTTCCAAACATCTTCTTCCTGTCGGAAGTCTTCGACAAGAAGTCCCTGAGGATGCTGTTCAGATCTCTTTGCTCTGTGAGATGTTTGTGAATGTGTAGCAGAACTATCTGCGACAAACGTGCCTGGTTCATGGTGGAGCGAAGATAATTTTTCAGCCTGCGCAACGCACTGAAGGACCTTTCAGAAGTAGCACCTGAAGCTGAACAAGAAGATTTTCTGTGCGTGGCGTGGCCTGCGGTTTGAGCGGCGTCCCTACCCCATGGGAACGGCACGTCCCATCCATATAAACCCATTTCCTTATCGTGTCTTTCAAAAATTCTGGAGGGGCAAGGCCCCCCCAGCTCAAAACCTGGGGGGGCACGGGCCCCCCCGGCCCCCCCGTCTCCTACGCCATTGGCAGGAGAAGGCCGCCTTGTTGCGGGACGCGCCAGGGGTAAGTGTGCGCCTGACCTCGAGCCTCACGGCCTCACAAGGCTGCGGGGAGCGGCCCGGTACACTGCAGACAGTGCCGCACGTTATCGCCCGCCCTGAGAGTGACTCTGTTCTGCCGCAGGTGACCCGGCTGGTCGGTGTGTGTTGTGACAAGGACCCCGTCTGGAGCCTCCAGCTGCTGCAGCGCGCCGCGCCCACCGTGGAGCGGCTGAGTGTGAACCATCCCCGCGAGGCCCACCTGCGCGCGGTGCATGCTATACCGCGGCTGAGGAGGCTGTACGTGTCGGGTGATGCTGCCCTGCGCCTCGACCCCCTCGAGCTGCCCGCGCTGCCGCCGGGACATGCCGGCCTGCAGTGGCTCAGCGTGCAGAACCTCCCCCGCGCCACGACACAGTCCCTGCTGCGGGCGCACGGCGGCACGCTGGAGGAGCTGGAGTTGTACGTGGGCACGGCGGGGAGTGGAGGGTGGCCATACAGCTGCGGCGACCTGCTCTCGCTGCTGGAGCAGAGCTGGCTGCGGGCGCTCAGGAGGCTCGTGCTGCGGAGGGGTTGGTGCAGCCACAGTGCAGCCGCCTGCAGGGAGCAGCGCGGCAACGTGCGGCGGGTGCTGCCCGGGACCGAGGTGCTGTGCGGCTCGTGTGTCGGTGTGAGGGCGGAATGGGTCTAGGGGCGGCGAGCAGCGGTCGTGCCCCCGCCACCTTGTGGAAGCGAGAGGACCCCGAGCAGCAGGGCCGGCAGGGCCACCCCGGGGCGTGTTCGGGGTCACAGCGCAGACAACACTCCTCGCGACCCGCAAGCACGGCGGGACAAGACACTGTGAGCGCACTGACATTCACCTTTGGCGGGCGGCCACGGGTGCAGCCCACTCTACGGGTGTTTTTCGTGTCGACTTTTCGACTCGGTTAGCAACACTGCCGCCGAACGGGCCGAGCCTCGTGCAGGCGGGCCACGGCCACACCACAGTCTACCAGCCAGGTACAGGGAGCGACGCCGCGTATTCAAGTCATTCATACATGTACTGCGTCATTCGATAAAGTCATCTAATTTTAAAACAACTCGTATGGCATCAAGAATAAAATAAGTGTATTATTATTACAATTTTTACCAACTGTTTTATTTGTACGTCGCACCGAGGCCTGACGTAGATAGATGTCGTGCTCTGAATACGGAAGATTTCTGCGTTCGTGGTGGGTGCAACCCATCGGATCTCAGCTCAATGGGCGGGCGGCGCCGGGCGGGTAGGCCGACCCGCACAGCAGTGCTGTCGAGCCGAACTGCCCGCCCAGCGCCTGCCAGCCGAGCGCCACTCGCGCCGTTCCTCTGCGTCTACAGGTTTCTTTTCTTTTCCTGATGTCAGTAATAATAGTTATTATCGAAAATAGATGTGGTAGTTGAGGGTCGTGGTAAATTTATCCTCGTGAGTATTCCTGCTGGGGTAACACTACCGTTTGTATACCAGTGACATCATACGGCTACGGTGACCTGCACTCGCTGCTGCAGCAGAGCGGGCTGCGGGTGCTCAAGAGGTTCGTGCTGCGGAGGGTAGGTTGGACCTACCAGCCAGCCAGCCGCCTGCAGGGAGCAGTGCGCCGAGGTGCTGTGCGATCAGTGTGACCGTGTACAGAAGGGAGAGGTCTAGGGGCGGCGGGCAGCGGGCGTGCCCACCCTGTGACAGCGAGAGGACCCCGAGCAGCAGGGCCGGCAGGGCCACCGGGGCGTGTTCGGGTTCACGGCGCAGACACAACACTAGTCGCGACTTGTAGGCTCGGCGGGACAAGACACTGCCAGCGCACTAGCGGTGCCTGGTGGGCGGCCACGGGTGCACTGCACTGCAGTCACTCGGGATAATTATTTTAACGACTTGTACCGAGGTGCGACAAAGCCAGCTATCATCCCCGCCTGCTGGGTGCAAACACCACAATAAGTCAACCAGCGGGAGACGACCAACCACTCGCCCTGAAACGAGCCATGCCAGGGATGTGTTCTCCAACTCTGCTGAAGCTGCATTGCAACCGACAAAAGTACTCTAATATTCTAATGCAGTTTGGCTTGGCAATGGAGGCCGCCCCGTTCCTAGTTGAGCTCCTGCAGCAGCCTGCCGACGGCCTCTGGGGGGAACGCCGGCGACCCTCCCGGAGTGAGGCGACTCGATGCGGTGGCCGAGGAGAGCGACCAGGGCTCAGTGTCAGTCCCGCGGATAGGCGTTCAGTTAGCGTCGAGTTGGTGGGCGGGCGGCGGCGAGCGCCGGGCGGGTAGGCCGACCCGCGCAGCAGCACCGTCGAGCAGGACGGCCCGCCCGGCGCCTGTCGGGCGAGAGCCACCCGCGCCGCGCACTTTTTCTCTACCTCTGAGCTTCTGAGCCGTGAACACGAAGGTTATGAAGTAGAGGCTCCGGGGCTCAGTGTCAATCCTACAGATCGGCGTTCCGTTAGCGTCGAGTTCGTGAGCGGGCGGCGGCGAGCGCCGGGTGGGTAGGCTGACCCGCGCAGCAGCGCCGTCGAGCGGGACAGCCCGCCCGGCGCCTGCCGGCCGAGTGCCATCCGGTTGATCTGCCTGTAGTTAAGGTCCTGAGTGAGTCGTGAATACGAAGGCGATCATGTAGATGGCCACGAACAGGATGGGCATGTTGGCGACCTGGAACGGGCCCAGCGTGCCGATCTGCAGCAGCGCCCTGTCCACGGCCTCTGGGGGCGGCCGCCAGGGGGCCGGGCCCGGTATGGGGATGACCGCGCTCACCAGCATCGGCTCCGACCCACCGACTCGATAGCACAACCACCTAGCTGCGCGCCGGCCGCCAGCTGGCGACACAGGTAGGCAGTATCCGCGCAACACACGGCTTGACCACACATTTCTATCTCTCGAAATCACAATTGCAAATCATGATTTTTACGTGACGTCTCGTTGTGATTGATAACCATTTCGAGCGCGTCCAGCTCGGTACGGTAAATCGGGTGAGGGGTAGCCTATCGTAGGAATTTCTACTAGCGTCGTGGTAGTGTATCGTGGTAGTGAGAACCAAAAAATATGGTTTCCATCGCGTCATTGTTGCCTCGACCATATCTTGTGGTGCCCCCTGTGCCAGCCATTAGATGGTTTGCATTGCTAAGCATTCCTCTGGGTTTCTATCGGCCCTGCTGACAAGGGAACCCCGCCAAGTGTAAATTCCCGATTTTCATTCTACTTTGGGAAATTGTTGGTCTAAATATGTCATCGAAGGACACATCAAAGATTTTTGCTTAAATTCATATTTAGGGGTCATTTTGGGTATTTGTTCAAAAAGCTGCTATTTCAATTATTTTTTA